TACTTTGGTCCCAGCTCTCTGCAGGTCATTCACTAGGTCCCCCCGTGTGGTTCTGGGATTTTTGCTCACCGTTCTTGTGATCATTTTGACCCCACGGGGTGAGATCTTGCGTGGAGCCCCAGATCGAGGGAGATTATCAGTGGTCTTGTATGTCTTCCATTTCCTAATAATTGCTCCCACAGTTGATTTCTTCAAACCAAGCTGCTTACCTATTGCAGATTCAGTCTTCCCAGCCTGGTGCAGGTCTACAATTTTGTTTCTGGTGTCCTTTGACAGCTCTTTGGTCTTGACCATAGTGGAGTTTGGAGTGTGACTGTTTGAGGTTGTGGACAGGTGTCTTTTATACTGATAACACGTTCAAACAGGTGCCATTAATACAGGTAACGAGTGGAGGACAGAGGAGCCTCTTAAAGAAGAAGTTACAGGTCTGTGAGAGCCAGAAATCTTGCTTGTTTGTAGGTGACCAAATACTTATTTTCCACCATAATTTGCAAATAAATTCATTAAAAATCCTACAATGTGATTTTCTGGAATTTTTTTTCTCTATTTGTCTGTCATAGTTGACGTGTACCTATGATGAAAATGACAGGCCTCTCTCATCTATTTAAGTGGGAGAACTTGCACAATTGGTGGCTGACTAAATACTTTTTTTCCCCACTGTATGTGGTAAGCCTACAGTTTGTAAAACACCAAAAAACGACATCTGGACAGGACCAAAAAAAGACGTCCAAAAGACGTTGGCTCGTGCTTACTGGGGTGTAGCCTACCATGTCCGCTGCAATGGAATTTTATGAATGCCCATCCATGTGGTAGGCCCACCGTTTGCAAAACAGGCCATTGCATTTGCTTTATTAGTCCTGATTCCTGTGACTAATCAATTTGGCTATTTAAGCTCTGAATATCAGCTACCCAACTTTATCAGCAATGTCTTTACACAGCGGGAAATGCAGAAGTATTTTATTTTTCACTATGATCAGCTTGTCAAAACTTTACAGATAAAACTTGAAACCACTGACCATGACAATGGTGTGAAACTCCTGGACTACAGTTGTGATTGTCCATTACATATTGTCCATTTTACTTTGACCTGTCCTGTTTTTAGGATATGTTGTTTGTTAACATGACAGCACATTTTTTTTTTGATGGACGCCATTTAGATTAGGCAATTTGATCGGAGAAACCTGCATGATGTAAAAAGTGTCTGTCTCATTACAGCGGAGTCACTCACCACCTTCCGGAGACACTTGAAACCGCACCTCTTTAAGGAATACCTGGGATAGGATAAAGTAATCCTTCTACCCCCCCTTACCCCACCCCCCCACCCCCAAAAAAAAAAAAATATGTTATCCCACTGGCTATAAGGTGAATGTACCAATTTGTAAGTCGCTCTGGATAAGAGCGTCTGCTAAATGACGTAAATGTAACATTTTATCTCCAGCCTGTAGGCCACAGAAAAGGCCACATACTATTTTTACCATATCTTATATCTGCTACATGATTTATGTTAGATTATTCTTTTGACAGAACGTTGGTGGAGCGCTGCAGAAATGCGTCTCTCCAACAACACCCTGGAGAGGCGTCCCTCGAATGGAAAGGAAAAATATTTTGCGCCTTTGACAAAGTGGGCACTGCTTATCAAAGGGCGGCATCAGCGCTCACCTAAAAAGCCCATATGCCACTGGTTGAGAGAAAATGTTTTGGGGCAGAATTATGTGAGGTTTTATGTGTTGTTGTTGGAGGTGTGTCTTGGTCAGTTTAGCTCAGAAAATGCCGCCTAATCCTGACTAATACCTGATGACTGTGGATGAAAGCCTCTATGCATCTTGTGGATGCAGTTGGGACCCTGTCCCAAATTACACAACTCGAATGTGTGGTTCGACGCAGTTATTCAGTACGAGCCCCCCTCTTCTTAGTACACATACACTACCAGTCAAATGTTTGGACACACCTACTCATTCAAGGGCTTTTCTTTATTTTTACTATTTTTTACATTGTAGACATCATAACTATGAAATAACACATATGGAATCATGTAGAAACCAAAAAAGTGTTAAACAAATATTTTATATTTGAGATTCTTCAAATAGCCACCCTTTGCCTTGATGACAGCTTTGCACACTCTTGGCATTCTCTCAACCAGCTTCACCTGGAATGCTTTTCCAACAGTCTTGAAGGAGTTCCTACATATGCTGAGCACTTGTTGGCTGCTTTTCCTTCACTCTGCCGTCCGACTCATCCTAAACCATCTCAATTGGGTTGAAGTCGGGGGATTGTGGAGGCCAGGTCATCTGATGCAGCACTCACTTTTTTAATGTTTATTCACTGAGAAGGATGGTCCGCCCCTTCCTCCTCTGAGGAGCCTCCACTGGCACAGATTTATATTACATTTACATTTTAGTCATTTAGCAGATGCTCTTATCCAGAGCGACTTACAGTTAGTGAATACATATTTTTTTATACTGGCCCCCTGTGGGAATCGAACCCACAACCCTGGCGTTGCAAACGCCATGCTCTTTCAACTGAGCTACATCCCTGCCGGCCATTGCCTCCCCTACCCTGGACGACGCTGGGCCAATTGTGCGCCGCGCATGAGTCTCCCGGTCGCGGTCGGCTGCGACAGAGCCTGGATTCGAACCAGGATCTCTAGTGGCACAGTTAGCACTGCGATGCAGTGCCTTAGACCACTGCGCCACTCAGGAGTCTATTACTGTGTAAACTCTTCAGAATTCCAATATGAATGCCAATATGCACTCTATATTACTGTAAGACCTCTCATTGAAATGTACATTTTTAAAAACATAATACCGTATGTAGTCTTGTACCAGACTTGAATAATCAACTGCTCATTAGGACTTGATACTAACAAATGTATTGTTGCTGAATTGGATCAAAAGCCTGAAAAAACGTACAGTAGCTCTCAAGGATTCAACCCCTTCTCCAAAGCACCCTTGATTATGATTTGAAATACATCAATGATAACTCATTACCACTAGAAATAATTGTTACTGAACTCACTCCTCCACGACGCCAGGACAGCGGAGTCACTGACCACCTTCCGGAGACACTTGAAACCCTACCTCTTTAAGGAAGACCTGGAATAGTATAAAAGTAATCCTTCTACCCCCCCCCCCCCCCCCCCCCCCCCCCCCCCTCCCGCACCCACCCATAAAAGAAAAGAAAGAAAAGTGGTTGTCTCACTGGCTATCATAAGTTGAATGCACCAATTTGTAAGTCGCTCTGGATAAGAGCGTCTGCTAAATGACGTAAATACAAATGTAATTCACGTCACAAATAGTATGGTTAGTGTGGTTAGTATGAGTATTCGAACACAGCTTTGCTTTCAATGACAGATCTATAACTCACATTCCTATATGAATTTGGTGGAGTTGCCGAAAAAGTTACATATTGCAGCTTTAAATGGAGACCAAAAAAGCTATTCCTTAACCCCTAACCTTAACCTTTACCCTTAACCCATAACCATTTTAAATGTAAACTTCATTGGGGTAGGGACGTCCCAAGGAATTGAAAGGAGTGATTACTGGGGTAGCGGTAAATGTGAAAGCTGACCAACTGAAGGGGAAGATTCCCAGTGTTTGTGATGCTTGTCGTTTGGTGCGACACAGACAGGGTGGCGTGAGTGGAGAAACAGAAGAGTCATTGTCTGTTCTTTTGAGTTTTGATGCTGAGTCTTTGCCTGACAAAGTGATGTTAGGCTGTATAAGTTATCCTGTACGAGCTTTTGTGCCGAATACATTACGTTGTTACAGGTGTCAAGCTTATGGGCATGTGGCAGTAGTGTGCATAAGACAAAGGAATGTGTAGCATTGGGGAAAGTAGTGATATGTGTTAATTGTAGGGGTGCCCATGGGGCTTAGGATCAGAAATGTCCCATGTGAGAGAGACAGGTTGAGGTTTCCAGGGTTAGAGTAGTGCAGAAGTTGTCATATGCTGAGGCAGAGAAGAAAGTAGAGGAAGATGGGTCAAGGGGGAGGGATCCTGAGAGGAGGTGTGAGTAGTAGATCTGTACCAGTACAGAGGGATACACCAACAAGTGATATATGTTTCAGTAAGATTGGATTTTTGGCATTTATAGCAATAGTTATCAACTGTACTGCAGGGATGGAACGTAAGTCGCAGAAAATAGAGGTTGTAGTGGCAGCTGCAGAGAGGTTTTTGGGTGTGCGAGACTTGACATCAGAAGAGTTACAGGGTGTGTTAAGTGGCGGTGTCCCATCCTTTCAGGCTGTTGGCCTGAAGTAGGACTAAATAGATTTAAATAGTGGAGTATGGTATTTATTATTATTTGTATGTTTTGTGAGTGTAGTGTAAGATGGTCGGGTATTAGTATTGTAGCGACCCGCACAGACAGCTGTGTGTTATGTGTTAGGCTAGTAGATGGTTGTGTTGTACCTACCAGTACCCAGTGTTCGCGGGGTCCGACATGTCAATCAACCTGCTATCTGCCAATCACGGGAATGCCTGGAATGTTCTGATGCCGGGCATCCTGGCGGTTGGCGGAGTGGCGTGGAGGGGGGTTGGGCAGGGGGATGGAGCATTGGAAGTTAAGACCAGGTTTAGCCTTTGTTCTCTCTCTTTACGTCTGGGCTTCACAAGAGAAGGTCACGATTGGCTTGTGGGTTATCTTTCATTTATTTGGCGTGGGCTACGGCCAAACAGTAGCCTGTGTAAAGTTGGTTTAATAAACCGTCCATTCGTAAACTCAATCCTCTGTCTGGACAGTTGTTCTTTTATGATCTAGTCAGGTCATTACAGTATTATTATATATGTATTTGTATTTATTTTAATTTTAAAGCAAGGCATAAGGGAGTTATACTCCAGTATAGTAGGTGACGGTAATGCAATATTTATTGGATGCCAACCGCCGTTAAACCTCATCAAAGAAGAAGAAGACGTCCCAAGGATCGCAGATAGATTGGACCGTTGTGAATGACGGAGCGTCATCTCCTCCAAATCCCGCGCGACACTCTCTCTGTATAGAGAGCTTGTTCTTTCCTTTATCACTTTAGCGGTGAAGGTGCAACAGTAATCGGTCGTCCCAAATCCGGGTTCATCCGACACCCTCACAAACTACAGCTGAACTGAGCTCAACGTCTACTGAAGCATCATGCCTCCCAAATTCGACCCCAATGAGACTAAAGTTGGTATGTGAGGTATCTACTGTAAAATGATTTGTTTCAGATAAGATCCAAAATGGAGTCGACTTCTGTCTGGCACATCCATGATGGCGCAGGCCTCTTCTCAGCAATGAGCTGATAAAATGGTAACGTTAGCTAGGATAAACACCACATTTGTCTTGAATTTACTGTGAATGCGTTACAGTATCTACTCATAATACATTCAAGTGAACATTGCATGATGGGAGATTCTGTTTAAACCTTTCAGACGAAATTAGAACGTTAGTTATATATCCCATTTCAGACGGAACTTGTTGCTAACTATATAGCCCATTAATTTCAGGTCTAGCTATTTATGTTAGCCTAGCCAGGTAGCTGCTGCTCTGTTTTCACTACGTGGGTGCACCTGGTTTCAGGAGGCAATCTCTGACACGTGTCTAGATTGTAAAGTGTAAGCGCTAGAAATAAGTTAGACATTTCACAGGTATTGAATGGTAGACGATGCATATAGACTAATTGATTTGACTGCAACAAATTATATTTTACTAACTTACTCCTGGCGGGCTGCATGTGGTCTAGGTCAGTGGTTCCCAAGCAGGGGTACTAGGACCCCAGGAGGTACTTGAGAAGACTCGAGACCATAGGCTTACTGGTAAAATGCGCTGGGGGGGGGGGCGGTACTCCTTGCAGACAAAATTCAGTTGGTAGTACAGTAACCGAAAAAGGTTGGAACCACAAGTCTAGGTAATTACATACAGGTTTAGCATCTTTACAAGTTTGGATGACTATTCAGCACAGGTAGCTGGACTATTCTACAGTTACGTAGCAGTTAATTCATCATTATTGGAGACTTGAGGCTGGCTTCAGCCTAGGTGCCCTAGTTAAGTGAACTAGTGCTCACATTTGCACAGCCACACAATGGTACCTGCACTTGCAAGTCAATGATGGGCTTTTGGCATGGCATATTTTAAATTAGCTGACTTAACTCCACGGTGAAGAAAGTTTAATTTCAACTAGGCAAATCAGTTAAGAACAAATTCTTATTTACAATGACAGCCTACCCCGGCCAAACCCTCCCCTAACCCAAACAACGCTGGGCCAATTGTGCGCTGCCCAATGGGACTCCTGATCACGGCCGGATGTGAAACAGCCTGGGATCAAACCAGGGTCTGTAGTGACGCCTCTAGCACTGAGATGCATTGCCTTAGACTGCTGTGCCACTGGAATTTACATTTTAGTCATTTAGCAGACGCTCTTATCCAGAGCGACTTACAGTTAGTGAGTGCATACATTTTTTATATCTATTTTTTTCATACCCCCCGTGGGAATCGAACCCACAACCCTGGCGTTGCAAATGCCATGCTCTACCAACTGAGCTACATCCCTGCCGGCCCTACCCTAGACGACGCTGGGCCAATTGTGCGCCGCCCCATGGGTCTCCCGGTCGCGGCCGGCTACGACAGAACCTGGATTTGAACCAGGATCTCTAATGGCACAGCTAGCACTGCGATGCAGTGCCTTTTGATCACTGCGCCACTCGGGAGGAATTCTGCTCCGACTACATTGGCTAGCGTTAGCGCAATGACTGGAAGTCTATGGGTAACTACTAGTCCCCTGTAGCTCAGTTGGTAGAGCATGGCGCTTGCAATGGCAGGGTTGTGGGTTCGTTTCCCACGGGGGGCCAGTATGAAAATGTATGCACTCACTAACTGTAAGTCGCTCTGGATAAGAGCGTCTGCTAAATGACTAAAATGTAAATGTACTAGCATGCTTAATCTAGATAAATGGACTCAATGCCAAAATCCCAAAGTATCCCTTTAAGACTTGGAAGCATAGAACATATCTACTGCTTAGACTTGCTTTCAATGATGAGATCTATAACTCGCATTTCTATGGGAATTTGCTCAGTCGCCCAAAAAGTTACATATTGCAGCTTTAACGTTTATGGGTAGTCCTCTGTGGCTCAGCTGGTAGAGCACGGCGCTTGTAACGCCAAGGTAGTGGGTTCGATCCCCGGGACCACCCATACACAAAAAAATGTATGCACGCATGACTGTAAGTCGCTTTGGATAAAAGCATCTGCTAAATGGCTTATTATTATTATTGAAAAAGTCTGGATTTCAGCTAACAAAGGCACGCAACTACAGAGGACAAACATAGGTACAGGTTTTTATTTTTTATTGTCCTTCGGCGACTCGGTAGTCAGCACTGAATTCCACAAAGCCTGGTCTCTGCTCTCATCCATTGGTGGAGTTCATCAGAAACTTCACCATGGAGTGGCATTTGGTCAGCAAATGTTCAATAGGTTTACTGTACTGATGCATAGGCGTAGACCTAATTCCAATTCAGTGGACCACAAATGCGCTTTATCTTGCCCCATCCTATCATGTTTGGCACTTGCACATGAGATTGCAATAAATGGTAGGAAATCTGACTACTATTCAGTTCTGCAAAGGGTGTAACCATTTTGACTGACTCCCAACTTATTAGACAGCACCTAAGACTTATTAGAAAGAACTGCTATAATACTTCAAATTAGTCACTGAGAAATCCAGTATTCACCATAAAGGGGAATATACTTTTAGTTAACTTACGCCCTAAATCCTATAGTGCACCTCCATAAGCATTGGGACAGTCATTGGATCACCTGCTTTATTATGATTTAGCCTCCTGCCACTTTTCCAGTCTGTCTTGGACCTGAGTATAATCCAGTGGAGGCTAAAATGAACCCAGCTCTAGGAAACGGGGCAGCCCAAACAATGGGCAACTGTGCAGAAAGGCCTGGATCAAAATGGTGCCCTAATACTAACAGCATTTTGACTCATGCTAATTCCTTCACTGTATTTACTCAGGAACCACCAATAATCTATGCCTCATATCTTATTGATTTCTTCTCATAAATAACCAGTTTCTCTTTTTCTACCTTGCAGTGTACATGAGGTGCACAGGAGGAGAAGTTGGTGCCACCTCTGCTCTGGCTCCCAAGATTGGACCTCTGGGTCTGGTAAGTGTACCATTCCAACCCTCTCATTTAGAGTGAGTTGTGGTAATTTTTGGAGTACCCATTGTCTGCAGATTAGCCTCCCGCCACTTTGCCAGTCTGAGTGTAGTCCAGTGGAGGCTAAAATGGACCCATCTCTAGGAAACTGGGCTGCCCAAACAATGGATTACTCTTTGCTGAGAGGCCTGAAACAAATGCTAATATTGTCCTTCTGTTTCCCCTGAATTTGTCACTATTGATCACCATTTTGAAGCGTCACGCTTGAAGCTTTTTCTGTGTTTTAAATCTGTACTCCTTGCTTTCAGTCTCCCAAGAAGGTTGGCGATGATATTGCCAAGGCCACCGGAGACTGGAAGGGCCTGAGGATCACTGTCAAGCTGACCATCGTGAACAGGCAGGCAGCGGTACGTACCAAATCTGTTCCCTCAACCAGAGTCCCTGAAAATGGATTGGCCATTCAAATGTTTTTCAATCATCCCAGCTTTAACGTGGCTTCTGTCTATTGTAGATCGAGGTGGTGCCCTCTGCTTCGGCTCTGATCATTAAGGCCCTGAAGGAGCCCCCTCGTGACAGGAAGAAGGTCAAGAACAGTAAGTTGCCCTGAGCTTTCTCCTCTGATGACTAATGCAATTTTTTTTTAAACAAGGTTGTCTTCATTAAGTTAAACCTGTAGTTTGGCACGTTCCAGCCTCCCGTCACCTGTCTTGTTTGTGACTTGAGTATAGTCCAGTGGCGGCTAAGATGGACAAATCTCTAGGAAACAGGGTTGCACAAACTGCTCATTAGGCAGCCGTTTATGGCGGCAGATTGACGAGGGCGGCATTTACTGAGCTAAACTGACCGGTAGGCTTACCACAGAGGGGCATTCATGAAATTCAATTTCAGGCAACACTGTTGGCTACACCTGAGGACTTTTTGGCAGTCCGGACCGGCCTCGATTTCCACATCCACGGACATTGGTTGTTGGTCTGGACAAAATCTAAACCAATGTTTGGTTCAGATTTGGTTCCGGTCCAGACCGGCCTTGAATTATTATTTTTGGTCTGGACTAAATCAGACTTCTATGTTTGGTTCAGATTTAGTCCAGTCTTGACCTGCCTTGATTTGGCTCAAACATAGATGTCTAAAAATGACGTGTTTTCAACTTTCATTCAGAACAAAAAATGTGCCTGATTTCAACATCGGGGGAAAAATGTGTATTTTCAACATCCAGAAAATATCTATTTTAAACTGTGTTTTGGGGTCTCGCCTAAGGCGGCAAGGACCGGCCCTGCTCTGTGCCGAAAGGAGCCATTCAGTTAGTTGCGTAGCTGTCCCATCTGGTCTTGCTACTATCAACAGGTGAACGTTCTCAGTCACTGCGCCGGATTTCCGTCATATGGATTCTGGAGGTCAGTTTTGAGATTTGTCTAGATCGCAATAAAAAATCTCTGGGGGGCTGGTTTGGAGATGGCATGTCTGTTCTATATATTCCCAAATTCTTTTTTCACTGTTTGCACTGAACTGACATGCATGACTGTTGCGGATACTCCGATGTTCAGATGAGGGAATGAAAAACAATATAATGCCCACTATTGTGGTGCTCAACTCAAACAGTTGTGTGTAGTGTACTGTAGCTGCTGGCAAAGTAATTCAAAGCCTATGCTTTATCACTCAGGATGTGGTAACTTTCCAGTGCTACTATTTTTGCCATGTAATATTCTTAAAATGGACAACCACATAGTAGAATAGTTTGCCTATTTACCTAGTCGGCTTGTGTGCTATGCGAGAAATGGTCCTTGTGGCGCATTCAAGTTGCGAGAGCTGTAGGGAAGGAAACGTATTCTGACGAGGCCAATGCACAACTCTTCAATTGTGGGATAAACACTTGAAAGCAGTTTTCTCCTTTGTTAAAAAGTGGTTTCCCATATTTCCATTGCTACCACGTTTATTTCTCTACTTCTAAAATGGCGCGCGGCATAATTTTTCAAAATGCAGTTCCAATCGGCGTTTTAACACATGGTTTGGACAACTGTGCAACAGAGCTCTTAAAGGGGAACTGCATTTTTACATACATTTACATATGTCCATATTTGCATATTTTTGTTGTAAACTGGGGCAATGGTGTCTTAAAATGGCAATGACATACTTTGTAATAGAAACCCCCAAAATCGATAGTTCTTTAAAATATTAATCAGGTGGTTGAATCCAAAGGGTGTAAATGCAGATGGACAAATCCCATGCTTATGTATTTATAGCCAATATGCTGCATCAGTTGGGCTATAGGTGATTTAACATTTTTACCATTGTTACTTGGCTAATTTCTGGAATGGAAATTGTATTTGGTGTCAGCATTTTATTTTCATTTTGGATAGCATGCCCTTTAAAAAAAAAAGTAACGATCTGAGCTTCTCATAATATTTCTCCCGAGGAGGACCATGGACCCCCTGGGGACCGGAAGTGGTCAAACTCAGTTTAATACATGTATTTTTTATTTAACCTTTATTTAACCAGGTAAGCCAGTTGAACAAGTTCTCATTTACAACTGCGACCTGGCCAAGATAAAGCTTAAAAAAATATCCTCAATCCCTAAAAGCCTGATGGTCATGACTTTTAAAAAATGTATTGGGAGGGTAACTTGGCTGCACAGACAATCTGAGATCGACTGAAGTGTCAGTCATGGGATTTTGTTGCTGTAAGCCCTGTATCAATGATTCAGAGATCCAGGGTGTACTTGTTTTAAAGTCTTCTATTTGTTTCCAGTCAAGCACAGCGGCAGTGTGACCTTTGACGAGATCGTGACAGTCGCCCGCACAATGAGGCCCCGCTCCATTGCCAGGGAGCTTTCTGGTAAGAGCCCAGCCCATGCCTATCCCCTCAGCTTCACGTCATTCTTGAATCACCTGCCACTTTGCCAGTCAGAGTATAGCCCAGTGGAGGCTAAGATGGACCCAGCTTTTGGAAACACGGCTGCCCACACAGTGGGCAACTCTGTGCTGAAAGGCCTAGAACAAAATTGCGCCTTTATCATACACTAGAACATTTATACAGTGCATTCGGAAAGTATTCAGAACCCCATTTCCACCTTTTGTTATGTTACAGCCATATTTTAAAATGGATTGAATAAATGTTTTCCCTCAACACATACAATACACCACAATGACAAAGCAAAAAGAGGTGTTTAGAAATGTTTGCTAATTTATTTTTTCAAAACAAAACAAAACATACCTTGTTTACATAAGTATTCAGACCCTTTGCTATGAGAGTCAATTGAGCTCAGGTGCATCATGTTTCCATTGATCATCCTTGATGTTTCTACAACTTGATTGGAGTCCACCTGTGGTAAATTCAATTGATTGGACATGATTTGGAAAGGTACACCTGTCTATAACTTCCCACAGTTGACAGTGCAGTCAGAGAAAAAACCAAGCCATGAGGTCGAAGGAATTGTTCTTACAGCTCAGAGGCAGGATTGTGTCGAGGCACAGATCTGGGGAAGGGTACCAAAACATTTCTGCAGCATTGAAGGTCTCCAAGAACACAGTGGTCTCCATTCTTAAATGAAAGCCGTTTGGAACCACCCAAGACTCTTCCTAGAGCTGGCGGCCCGGGCCAAACTGAGCAATCGGGGGAGAAGGGCCTTGGTCAGGGAGGTGACCAAGAACCCAATGGTCACTCTGATAGAGCTCCAGAGTCCCTCCTCCCAGAAGGACAACCATCTCTGCAGCACTCCACCAATCAGGCCTTTATGGTAGAGTGGCCAGACGGAAGCCACTCCTCAGTAAAAGGCACATGACAGCCCGCTTGGAGTTTGCCAAAAGGCACCTAAAGGACTCTCAGACCATGAGAAACAAGATTGAACTCTTTGGCCTGAATGCCAAGCGTCACGTCTGGAGGAAACCTGGCACAATCCCTATGGTGAAGTATGGTGGTGGCAGCATCATGCTGTGGGGATGTTTTTCAGCGGCAGGGACTGGGAGACTAGTCAGGATCGACGGAAAGATTAATGGAGCAAAGTACAGAGAGATCCTTAATGAAAACCTGCTCCATAGCACTCAGGACCTCAGGCTGGGGCCAAGGTTCACCTTCCAACAGGACAATGACCCTAAGCACACAGCCAAGACAATGCAGGAGATGCTTCGGGAAAAGTCTCTGATTGTCCTTAAGTGGCCCAGCCAGAGCCTGGACTTGAACCCGTTCAAACATCTCTGGAGAGACCTGAAAATGGGATAAACTCCCCAAATACAGGTGTGCCAAGCTTGTAGCGTCATACCCAAGAAGACTCTAGGCTGTTATCGCTGCCAAAGGTGCTTCAACAAAGTACTGAGTAAAGTGTCTGAATACTTATGTAAATGTCGTATTTCAGTATTTCTTTTTTTTTAATTGCCAAAAAATCTAAATCTATTTTTGCTTTGTCATTATGGGGTATTGTGTGTAGACTGCTGGTCCTAATTCCTTTTCTATTTTCTCAGGAACCATCAAGGAGATTCTGGGAACTGCCCAGTCTGTGGGTTGCACCATCGATGGCCGCCCTCCCCATGATGTCATTGACGACATCAACAGCGGCAAGGTGGAGTGCCCATTTGAGTAAAACATCAAATGGAGAAAATAAAGGTTTATAAGAAATATGAATTTGGTCTTGAATAATTGTACAATTTGCTATATCCACTTAGTAAATTCTAGTGTCTTACAGTCGATTCGTAATTGCTGTGTTAACAACTGTCAATATTTTGCAGTTTAATTATACATGGGATAGTTCACCCAAATTACAAAAAGATATTGGTTTCCTTGCCCTGTCCAGTCTATGGACAAGATGTGAAAGTAATCAATGCTTTTTTTGTACCTGGCCTTGTTTCCAAATACTTGCTTTTTGCCTTTGTGGCACAGTCCAATGAAAGTCAATGGTACCTGTAGTAGCATTATTTTGCTCTTCCAAATCCTCTATAATTAACTTGAGCTACACAATCAATTTTAGATACTTGAGGATTTGGATATGAAGCATGAAAAATGCTTGTACAGTGCCCTGCAAAAGTATTCAGCCCCTTTGGCATTTTTCCTTTTTTGTTGCATTACAATCTGTAATTTCAATGGATTTTTATTTGGATTTCATGTAATTGACATACACAAAATAGTCCAAATTGGTGAAGTGGAATGAAAAGAATAACGGGTTTCAAAAAATTTGAAAAAATAAATAACGGGAAAGTGGTGCGTGCATATGTATTCACCCCCTTTGCTATGAAGCTCCTAAATAAGATCTGGTCAACCAAATACCTTCAGAAGTCACATAATTAGTTAATGTCCACCTGTGAGCAAAATAAGTATTGCATGATCTGTATGTGTGTGTGTGTATATATATATATATATATATATATATATATTTTTTTTAAATACACATACATTAACACTGTTAAGGTCACAACCAAGCAAGCAGCACCATGAAGACCAAGGAGCTCTCCAAACAGGTCAGTTACAAAGTTGTGGAGAATAATAATAATATGCCATTTAGCTGACGCTTTTATCCAAAGCGACTTAGTCATGTGTGCATAAATTTTTACGTATGGGTGGTCCCGGGGATCAAACCCACTACCCTGGCGTTACAAGCACCGTGCTCTACCAATTGAGCTACAGAGGACCACAAGTACAGATCAGGGTTGGGTTATAAAGAAATATCAGAAACTTTGAACATCCCACGGAGCACCATTAAATCCATTATTTAAAAAAATAGAAAGAATACGGCACCACAACAAACCTGCCAAGAGAGGACCGCCCACCAAAACTCACGGACCAGGCAAGGAGGGCATTAATCAGAGGCAACAAAGAGACCAAAGATAACCCTGAAGAAGCTGCAAAGCTCCACAGCAGAGATTGGAGTATCTGTCCATAGGACCACTTTAAGCCGTATGCTCCACAGAGCTGGGCTTTACGGAAGAGTGGTCTGAAAAAAGCCATTGCTTAAAGAGTAAAATAAACAAACAGGTTTGGTGTTTGCCAAAAGGCATGTGGGAGACTCTCCAAACATATGAAAGAAGGTTCTCTGGTCAGATGAGACTAAAATTGAGCTAATTGGCCATCAAGGAAAACGCTATGTCCGGCGCAAACCCAAAACCTCTCATCACCCCGAGAACACCATCCCCACAGTGAAGCGTGGTGGCAGCATCATGCTGTGGGGATGTTTTTTATCGGCAGGGACTGGGAAACTGATCTTGTTTGTTCCAAAGACTATTTGGATGCCAGGAGCACAAATCTAGGAGTTCAAATCTAATTGCATTTGTCACATGCGCCGAATACAACAGGTGTAGACTTCACAGTGAAATGCTTACTTACAAGCCCTTAACCAACAATGCAGTTAAGGAAAGTGTTAAGTAAAAATTTAAAAAAAGAAATAACATAATTAAAAAGCATCAGTAAAATAACAGTAGCGAGGCTATATACAGGGGGTACCGGTACTGAGTCGATGTGCGGGGGCACCGGTTAGTTGCATCCTTCAGAGTTTAGTGAGTACTGAGTGAGTCGGTTGACACCAAGTCTAACAAACACGAGTAACTTCATTGCCATCAAATCTATTGTGGGAGGAGTACATCCGAGAACGTCAACAAATTATGACCAACCATGCATGATCTTAATTTTTTTAAAATTAAATTAGTGGTGTAAGGCCATTCTGGTCAGAGTGCATAAGATTTGCATTGTCCTTTATCACAGCAAATAACTGATGGAGATGGTTGGTCTAAATTCTACTCCATTTGTTCGGAGTGTGCCAGTTGTCGGAAGACAACAGAAAATAACTATTACATCAAGGTCCTAGGGATGTGCATATTTCCCTTTCAAGAGAATTCAACACTTATCTAGATAAATGGGCTCTGATACAGGAACAATACATTTTAGTTTGAAACTATTCCGTGCTATTCGGTTTGATGCAATACACTAACGTTTGTTGCATAAACATTCATTTTCCGCTCTAAATTCAAATCTACTGCTGATGGAGCTCATGAGCTGGATCTGTCCGAGCTGATGTAAGTAAATGTGTATGTAGGCCCCTGAGCTGAGCCATAAGGAAAACTGGGCGTCTACCACCCCATTAACAGTTCTGAAAATCACCAACCACCAATTAGTCATTTTTGCAGATTAAACATGTTAGAGCTAGTAATGTATCAATATTTCTTTAAAAATGTGCTATGACATAGCCAATGAGTGTACTAAACATGAACACCTGCTATTTCCTTGACAGACTGACCAGGTGAATCCGGGTGAAAGCTATGACCCCTTATTGAGGTCACCTATTAAACCAGCTTCAGAGTGGATTAAGGGGTGGCGACCGTTCAAAGGATTTTAAGGGTGAATGGGCAGGACAAAAGATTTCAGTGCCTATGAACGGGGTATGGTAGGTGCCAGGCGCACCCATTTGAGTGTCAAGAACTGCAACACTGCTGGGTTTTCACACTCAACAGTTTCCCGTGTGTATCAAGAATGGTCCACCACCCAAAGGACATCCAGCCAACTGTGGGAAGCATTGGAGTCAACATGGGCAAGCATCCCTGTGGAACACGACACCTTGTAGAGTCCATGACCTGATTAATTGAGGCTGTTCAGAGGGAAAAAGGTGTTCCTAATATTTTGTACACTGTGTATAGCAGAATTTGGGATTTCACCCAGTCATAATTGAATGGTTAAGACAGTTTGGAAGGTTTTTACAGACCGGAGTGACCTCATCTTCTCCCTGCTTCAGCCATGCAGTGTGGGTAGCAAAAGTAATTGTCTTTGTTATGAAATGATCAACTTTACCCTGTATATCTAAAAATGACCATATACTGATTGTTTCAAGCAAAACTATTGCTGATGGTGAACTTGAAAAATCGAATAAAATATAAGCCCCGATCAGCATGTAGCCAGATGAGTTGTCTCCAACGGTACCGTAAGCTACTTTCATTTCCAGTAAAACACAATTTAACAGTGTATTTGATCAAAATAACCTAGCAAATTATACTGAACAAAAATATAAAAGCAACATGTAAAGTGTTGGTCCCATGTTTCATGAGCTGAAATAAATGATCCCAGAAATGTTTCATATGCACAAAAAGCTTATTTACGTTTTAGTCATTTAGCAGACGCTCTTATCCAGAGCGACTTACAGTTAGTGAATGCATACATGTTTTTAGGTTTGTTTAGTTTTTAGGTTTTTTTTCATACTGGCCCCCCGTGGGAAACGAACCCACATCCCTGCCGGCCAAACCCTCCCCTACCTTGGACGACACTGGACCAATTGTGCCCCGCACATAGTTCTCCCGGTCGCGGCTGGCTGCGACAGAGCCTGGACTCGGACCAGGATCTCTAGTGGCACAGCTAGCACTGCGATGCAGTGCCTTAGAACACTGCGCCACTCGGGAGTCGCATCCCAAACATTTCTCTCAACTTCTGCACAAATGTGTTTACATCCCTGTTAGTGAGCATTTCTCCTTTGCCAAAATAATCCATCGACCTGACAGGTGTGGCATATGATTAACCGGCGTGATCATTACACAGGTGCACCTTGTGCTGGGGACAATAAGGTCACAAAACAATGCCACAGATGTGTTGAGGGAGCGTGCAATTGGCATGCTGACTGCAGCAATGTCCGCCAGAGAATTGAATCTTAATTTCTCTACCATAAGCCTTGTTTTAGAGAATTTGGCAGTACGTCCAACCGGCATCACAACCGCAGACCATGTGTATGGCGTTGTGTGCGCGAGCGGTTTGCTGATGTCAATGTGAAAAGAGTGCCCCATAGTGTCGGTGGGGTTATGGTATGGGCAGGCATAAGCTACGGACAACGAATACAATTGCATTTTATCGATTGCAATTTGAATGCACAGATATACCGTGAAGAGATCCTGAGGCCCATTGACGTGCCATTCATCCGCCGCCATCACCTCATGTTTCAGTAAGATAATGCATGGCCCCATGTCGCGAGGATCTGTACACAATTCCTGGAAGCTGAAAATGTCCCACTTCCATGGACTGCATACTCACCAGACATGTCACCCATTGAGCATGTTTTGGATGAGCTGGATCGACAGCGTGTTCCATTTCTCGCCAATATCCAGCAACTTCGCACAGCCATTGAAGAGAAGTGGGAAAACATTTCACAGGCCTCAATCAACAGCCTGATCAACTCTATGCAAAGGAGATGTGTCATGCTGCATGAGGCAAATGGTTGTCACACCAGATACTGACTGGTTTTCTGATCCACACCCATACATTTTTTTTAAAGGTATCTGTGACCAACAAATGCATATCTGTATTCCCAGTCATGTGAAATCCATAGATTAGGACCTAATTAATTTATTTCAATTGACTGATTTCCATATATGAACTGTAACTCAGTGAAATCTTTTGAAATTGTTATATGTTGTGTTTATACTTTTGTTCAGTTTACATTGCTTGTCACTCAAGTAATAAAGCTTAATATTGTGCAAGCCATTTTACAGATATTTGAATGCTGAAGGTGACCCGCAGATATGCCAGATCAGGAATAGGCTTACATCTCGTTGGTCAGCACGCAGTTTGACTAGGCTACTGATGTTGCTTAGGGTTGTTCAGAATTCAAAATGACATGTAGATAAGTGTCAACATAATTAAATGCTTGGTTCAACACTGAA